TGTACACTAAACTGGGTTAAGAATTTTGTGTGCACTTTACTTTTCAGTATCTATTTTTAATTGTTTATTCCTTGTCATGCTATTTGTAACAGACTAGATGACTCCATATCTTATAGGGCATATGGTTCTGCTATACCAGAATTTCAATTGGTATCAGAGCAGGCATCCTGTTCTATCTTTGGACGAGATCTCGGGAAGATAATTTCTGGTCATGTGCAAGGTAGGAGGTTATACTGAAAATTTGTTTGAACCTAGTCAATTCAAATTTGTACGAATGGTCCCTTGAAATGGAGGAGAGACTATTGGTGACAAGGTGTGTGGTGACCCTGTTTTGAAGCTGTCAGGTGAGAAGCCTTGGTGGTGAGCTGTTATGAGGTTTGATTTAGTTTCAAACTTATGTTGTGCCTGAAGTTTGGTTGAGGAGTTTTTCGTTTATTCTGTTGCATCTGGTGGAAAATTCCTAGTGGTTGTGCGTGCTTCCTCTCATAAGGTGTATCCTATGGTGTTGTGATACGTGGAGGATAGTCTCGACCAACTTATTAAAGTTGCCAAAGATACTTGAGGATTGTCTCAAGTCTATTCAAAAAGGAACTTCTAAATAAGTTCATTTATATGAGATCTGAAGTAATAAATTTATTTTTGCTCTTTTCTGTGAAAGGCCAACCATAGGTTTTTGATGACGGGTCTCTTGGTGCATTCCTTGGATGTTGTTCTACGTGATGTTGGAACATCTCGTCGGCAGATTATGCAGAATTTTGCTGATGAAAGGAATGGTGTAGCAGGTGCTTTGGAGGCTGAACAAATGTGTGTTAATCATATATGTTTGAAACCTACTTCTTATCCAAGTTTATAGGTCGATGGTTATTCTTACAAACAGGATAGAGGTTGTTTACTTAAACTTGAAATAACTGTCAAGTCTATGAGAGCATGGAAATCTTGTTTTGTTAAGATAAGAACGATTATCCAAGGAAGGATACAATGGAGGTCTATAAACATATCTCAGTGGTTGATTAGCGTCTACATTTTTGAAGTACCATCCAATATGTTGGAATGTGTCTTCAGTTGTTTACTTGAGTAAGGGGAGTTAATCATGCCTCATTGGAGCAAGGCATGTATACTCAAGGGAGGTCCCTCTCAAGTTCATAGTCCAACTATGAGGTGTCCTCACATATTGGAACACTTGTTTATGCACTAGGGTTGGAAGTACATTAGTGAGCCTTGAAGAATTAGTGGTGCTTAGAGTATAGTACTGGCCATATCAGATGCTTGTTGTTTTCTGCTCCAGATACTTATTAGAGGGAATCTCCTCTTTAGGTGCAGAAGATTGGCTCCTACCACCTCAAAGTCAGACAGGATGCCTTTACTTGTGTTTCAGAAGTGTGTATCATGCATGTCATTGCATGTGTTTGATGCCTGCTCATGAAGGATGATCAGCTGCTGAAGAGTGATCTTGTATCCCCTGCAAGAGTTATGCATGGATTGTTATAGATGTTACCTCCAAATCCATAGTAGTTATCGAATCCATGTGTGTGAGATTGATGTTGGAATATCATCTCAGTTATTTGGTCTTCAACCAAGGAAGCCTATTTTGTTCAGAATGAAGCACTAGGTCAAGCCACTGACCCATTCCGGAGTTCTCTGTGATGAAGATGGATGTCATGATTGATGTCATGGTGAAGAGTCAGCCTGTGCCACAAGTATGCAGAAGAAGATAGTCAGACAAAATGTGATACCTTGTGTGAGAAGGTAATCCTTGTCTGACAAATGGTGAATACTTTGATGGAAGCTAAGTATTTATCCATCCTCTGTAGAGGTTATGCATAAGACTGATGGTGAGTACTTTAATTGGAGAATAGGTATTCATCTACGGAGTTATACAATTCTGCAGTCTGAAAATTTTTGTTCAGATAATGTGTAGAGAATATATTTTTCTCTATGTGGTCGTTTGAAGTAGCTTGGGTAAGATAGCTACTAACTATTGAGAGTTTATTTCTCTCATTTATGTTCTATGGGTGACAACCTGATTCAGCTTCTGAAGTTGATGTCCTAGACGATGTTGTAACATCACGCTTATTAGTGGTTGTCAAACAAGTTCATCACAATATTCTAAAGTGGCATTTCTAAGTATGATAGAAGCAGGATTTGAAGCTTCTATTCCTATCCACAAGGGTATATGGTGAAGGCATGACTCCTGAAGACATCAATTGATCTAACAATTGTTAGGAGAAATATATCAGATGGGGGATCTTGTCAAAATTACTTTTAAGGAAGTAGCTTCTTACACAACAAGTGACAGAGAGTGGAAACTTGATCTTGTACAACAAAGAAGCTAAGAGCATTTGTTCTGGAATATGTAAGAGGTTATAAGGAAAACGTGTCCTTGTTTATGTGGATAGCTCAAAGTATTTGAGATCATTCTTAATGAGTTGATATATCTAGATTTGTGAAATTCATGATTGACTTTACAGTATATGAAGTTCTCAGCTGGTGTGTCCAACCAGGAGTATATAGTGGTTACCCTCCAATATGATAATATGAAGTCCCTTATGTGTGTTCATTCGGTTCTCAAGTATTCATCTTCAGCTAGAGCATTATCTATCCATGACAGGGGGAGTAAAGTACATGTCCATGGACTATCGCTGCAATGGTGCAGTTGTGGGCCTCTTATAACGTTGTGATGTCAGACAATATGTCATGACGTGTAGCTACTAGATGTAGTTACTTATGTGCTTAATAGGGCATATGTGGTTAAATCATGTGAAGATGATTTGTTTAATCATGTGGTCTTAAGTTTCTCAGGATGGACTCTGAGAGATTATATTGGTGTCTGGGAGAATTTATTTTTTTATGCGGAACATTAAGGAGACCAATGAATTAGCATTGGGTGTGTCACTATTAAAGGTGGAAAGGAGTGAATTTTGAGACCAAGAAAGAACATTGTACCTATGCTTCTGAGCTTATGGATAGGTCTTTTTAAGACTTTTTTTAATCTTGTATGACAATGTTTGATAAGATGTTAGGACAAAACTCAAGACATATTTTTCCTTTATACCAACAAGCATCAATTTTGAACGGTATATCTTATATGTGCCATGAGGGTGTGTATCACGTGTTTTGACTATGCATGTGCATGTTTTGGAAACTGTCATTTCCAGAAAAAATTGATTCTGATTTATTAAAGGCATTTAAATCTTTTTGACTGGTGCACATTATTACCTGATGCCGTTTTTTTCTTCCTCGAATAGCGTCTCTTGACCAAGACAATTGTTATAGTCTAGGTTTGTTATTTTTGTTCAGGTATTTATAAAGTCTTTTGTTTCTTTCCTTCCTTTCACTTTATGTGTGTCTATTGATTGTCTAGTTCTCATGTCCTTTGTTCGGGTATGGGTAAGTTTTGTTTGGGTCTGGTTCTGTGAAGGTTATGTTTGGAAATTAATGGAAAGCATAGGCAAAATGGGTAATGTTCAGACATTGTTAAGTAAGAGGTCAGTTTTTGCAGTTGTTCTGCAAAGATGTCAAATAAGATTCCTATTCTGAGTATGTTTATTTTTTGGTGTTTGTTGTTGTGTCTTGTGATCTGAGTTAAGAACACAATTCCATCTTATGTTCTGAGTTACCCAAGTTTGAGGCATGGTCCTTTTTGTTTGTATAAGGGTAGTTCAGGCGGGTGTTGATTTTTTCCTTTAGTTTCCTCTTATGCTCTGAAAGAGGAAGTTGTGTCTGTCTTTGTCAAAGCATAATTCTCAGGTTGAGGGGGGTATTTGATATCTTCTTCCTCATGTACATCATGACTTCAGGAATTTCTCTGTTTATCCTGAGGTTGTTGTCTATGGTGTTTAGTCTGATGTGTTGTAGTGTATTGGTTTGGACAAGTGTGCAATAAAATGTCCCGACATCAGTCTGAGTATGGTTCTTACCTCTTTTTAAATCCTTTTTCATATTCTGGCTAAAAAGGGGGAGAAGAGCTTATGTTATCTCTTAGTGAGCAACTTTTTAAGTGAAAGAAAAATATGAGTTATCTGTTATCTGTTGAATCCCTTAAAAGAGAGAGAAAACGTTGGTGGTGGACTACCAAGATGTCCTATTATTATGTTGTGACATTATGATTGAAGACTGAAGACTGTCACATATAAATATTGAAGACCAAAGACTGTGATTGATCTGATATGCTTCTGTAATTTGCTGCTTCTAAGTTGTGTTGTTTAAACCCTTGTATTGTTTATGCTTTTGTATGCAAAGTTTATGTAAATTAGTTTTAGCCAAAATAAGCCAAAAGGGGAGATTGTTAATTCTCTATTATTTGGATTGGAATTATGTTTGATAAAATTAATATAGATGAAACAACCGGTTGAATTATCATCGAGATGAAATCAATGAAGTCGCCATCGGACATTTTTATCCCACGGGAAGGGAAATGTAAACATCGTGTAAACCTAGGATGGGTCAAATCACGATCAAACGACCGAGAGATTGGATAAGGGAATATTTTGTGCGAGGGGGAGGTATTAGAACCCCACACATGCGTAGTACTCTATAATATCCACTCTTGTTGTTCTAATCAAAGGGTGTGTTCAAATTTAAAGCTTACGAGTGTTGCACCCCAAAATTTTCCCTCCTAATTGCACTTTTATGGCTTAGACTTTTTGCATTCATCTGCATCATTCCAATGGGTCATTTGCATAGCACGCATTTTTCATAAAGTAGATCGCCTGAGGCTCAAAAGATCAGCAGTTAGGGAGCTAGGTTTTACAGTTGATTTAAGGTGTATGTGTTGGATAAGTTTGATTATCTAGGGTCTTCTCGGTGTACAAAGTTTTGGAATTAAGGTTCAAGGCTCATTTCTGGACTTCTTCTCCACCAAGTTACTGGGCTAATATCTTCTGATAGACAACTGGGTGTAGGTCATTCTGGTCAAGAACTCCAGGACGTGACCTAGCATATGTGGGTTTCAAATCATGGCGTCCTTTCCTATAAGTATGCCTATCATTTGATCAGGCTTAATGACTTTGACATGGCATTCATTCACTCTTCAATTAACCAATTCAGGTTTTGTTGAATCATGGTTCAGAGAATCATTGGTTGTGAAGCTCGGGATTTCTTTTAGTTCGAGGTGTTTATCAAACGAGACCGATTCTTCTGGTACATTGAATTGTGAATTTAGGATCTTTGATTTATGGTTGTTGTGGATTTCTTCTTTATCAAGCTACAAGGCTATTATCTTCTGCTGAACAATTGGTTGTAGGGTATTCCTGTCAATAACTTAAGGTTGTGATCTCGCGTACATGATCTTTGATTTAAAACACATCATTCTGTCATTGTGCTTATCATTTGGCCAAGGTTTTGACAATACTAGAGGTGTGTTAAGATTTCTCTAAAGGGTCAAGATCTGTTATCAATCCAAGATGCATATGATGCTTGCGTTATAGGTTATTGACTATGTCATTGTTGCATTGAGTTCATCTATCCATAAGTTAATCAATTAGGGTTGGGTACGTCATGATTTAAGATATTTTGTATGGTAAATTTGGTTGCTTGACAGTCAAGGTATTGCGAATAATTGGTACAAGCTATTGTTTGGATATTTGTGCAAGAACTTTGGTTTCAAACATGGGTTAAGGCTCAACTTGATAAAAAAGGAAATAGCATGCCCGAAGGTTTATTTCATAAATTCTTGCGGAGGAAGATGGCACATGAATATAAGTTGAGATTAAAGTACATGGTATCAAGTAAATCTCTTCATGATTCAAGTTGTTATTTTCAAGATTATCCCACATTATTGTTCATCCCAAGGTAAAATATAAAAAGATTCATTTAAATAACATTCGAGTGTTTATAATGTTTGTCTCAAGTTCATTCAAGTATCCATTCAAGCTCAAACTGAATGAGAGAAATGTTTTGAATAATTGGAAATTTGTCATGCAAGAAGTTATAAAGTTTTGTTCATTACAAATTCAAGTCATTACACCGAAGTTACAAAAGACATCTCAGTCATCAAAGTTTCGCATTCCAAGTACAAATCATCGTCATTTTTACAAATATGTAATCATTCAAGGTTAAAAGTCAAGGGTCTCCATTCATGCGAGTTTGAGGTGCGAGGTGTTTAAAATTGGAAGTTCAAACATCGAAATTTGAGTTTTAAGATCCAAAGCATGGTGTACAAGTTTGTTTGAACCAAAGCTCTTATAGGAATATGGCATACAAGGGAAATTTTGATTCAAGTTCTTGTGAAAACACATAAGACACTCATCATAGAGTACCATGGATTAAATTTGAGGTCGGATGGATAGAATCCTTAATTTGACCAAAAAGTGATCAAGGCCTCCATTTACCGAGAGCTAAGAAATTTAAAGAATGTTTAGAAGTGTCATAATTCAAGAGGATTCATCTTGCAAAAAACTCATAAATAATAGACATGGAATGTTGATAGCAAGTTTCAGCATATTCAAGTTCTACCAGTTACATCTCATTCAAGCCTATGCTTTGACTACATAATTCTCAAAACATACAAAAGGCCACAAATTTACAAAAGAAATAAAATTTCTATTACAAGTCGGAACTATTCCCATCCATGGTCATTCAAATTATTCAAAATCACTCAAGTTCAATCATTCGAGCGTCTTTCATTCACACATATTACAATATATGTCATTTTGAGATTACAAAACAGAGTTACAAAGGTCCAAATAAACTTTTACAAAAAAAAGAAAAAGGGAAAAACATGGGAGAAACTTCAACTTGCTGCAAGGGTTATTGTTGCAATTGAGAATCCTCAGGATATTATTGTTCAATCTGCTAGACCTTATAGACAGAGAGCTGTTCTCAAATTTGCTCAGTATACTGGTGCTCATGCTATCGCTGGAAGACACATTCCTGGAATTTTTACTAATCAGCTTCAAACTTCATTCAGCGAGCCGCGTCTTCTCATCCTCACTGACCCAAGAACTGATCACCAGCCAATTAAAGAAGCAGCTCTTGGGAATATTCCCATAATTGCTTTCTGTACACTAATTCTCCTATGCGATATGTTGACATTGGAATTCCTGCCAACAACAAAGAGATAGGTAATTGAAGAAAGGAATCCTAACATAAGAGTGAGAAGGTTAACACCTTTGCCTTCATCTCAAGCCTCTTTTGGCGCAATTTGCATTAAGGAATCTCGAATCTTCAATCTACAAAGGTATTGATCCGGCTTCTATGGCAGAACAAAGCTCATTCTCATGAGGAAACTCCTAGCCCGTCCACAGTTCAGCCCTGCATAGAAAGATTAAAAGGCAAAAATCAATAAAACAGTTAACAGTTCAGTTCTAAGAAATTGTAACAAAGCAAGCATTGCTGTTCATTATATTGCTTCAGTACGTTCCTAGATTTCTTCGAATGGTACCATTAACTTCAGAACTTAAGAGAACAGCTGGTGTCTTTGCTGAAACTGCATGGGCAGTGATAATGAGTGCAACAAAAGATGAAGCTCTGACAGCCAGAGAAATTGCTGAGAATAGATTGCAGACTGGTGATTTTGCAGTGGCACTGAAGTTTGCTATGAAAGCTCGGCGACTGTTTCCTGATACCCAGAACATTACTCAGATCATTACTATTTATGAGGTTCACTATGCTTCTCAGAACAAACTCTCTACATCTGATATGAACTGGTATGGAATTCTTCTAACTGATAAATTTTCTAAAGAAGCAATGATAAAGAGACAGTATAGAAAACTTGCACCGCTACTTCATCCTGATAAAAATAAATCTGCTGGAGCAGAGGCCACTTTCAAGTTGATTGTGGAAGCTAACAGAATATTGAGTGACCCAGCAAAGCGTTCTTTATATCACATGAAGATTAGCCGCCTTGCTGGAATTAAAGCACCTCAGGCTCCATCCTATCACCATAATCTTCACACTTCTTCAACACAAATCCCGCTGGCCACTTGGAACTCAACCTGTAAAATCGCATAAAAACAATCCACAATCAGAACCAAAACTAACGAGCCAATAACATAACCTTCAGCTTAGCAAACTAACCAATTCTTAACTGCATCCTAACAAACTCTTAACAAACTGCCAAAACAGAAATTCATAATTCCAAAACAACCAATCCATAACTAACCTTTTCCTAACTGTTTTTAACTAACTTCTAATGACTTTCAAACGGACAACTAACTCCTAACAAACTCCAAACAAACTCCTAACAAACTCTAAATAATTTCTAACCAAATCCCATCTTCTAAACAATATAGCAGAAAATCTATATAACAGGGAGATTATCATTCAGTTTGAGGAGGATGATTTATGATTCAACACACAGAAAATTTCTCAAGAAAATTCACAAAAGAACTCACAAAACCTCTGCAGCCTCCACTTCTGAACCATACTCTCTTTAAACCTCGACCTCCATCTTCAATCTTCATTTTCCTTCCTCAATCTCACAACTCTTTGCACCTTCAATCATCACCCACCTTCATTATTTATCCATCTCAAGCTCCCTCCAATTCTCTCATCATAGATACATAATAAGGTTCATTATTCAGGGAACACACAGAAAATTTCTCAAGAAAATTCAGAAAAAGTTAGAGAAAAATTTACCTCTTTCATGAATCATTCTTCAACACCCTGAAGGATCACCAAAAAATTATCTTCTCCTCTCATCTTCACCTCATTCTTTAATTTCTTTGGAGAATCACCAAAATCAATCTCTGAAAACTCTCTCTCCCCTTTTGAATTTCATCTTCACCGAGCCTTCAAGCATCACCTTCCTCTGCATCTTCTCAACCATTTTTTTGAACCACCATTTTCCACATTCCCCTATTCACTCTTCAACCTCACCTTCTGCAAACCAAAGATCAATTTCAACATTGATTCATGAATCTATAACACACGTAAAACACAGAGAAAACGTAACTAGTAGAAGAAGAAGTTCTTGAAAACGCTACATGCAAAGAAGTAGCATTACCTTTGGTTTTATTGGCGAATATCGTCGCCTCAAAAACTGAAGATACTATATGCATTTTTGTTGGTTTGCTCTGATCGAAGGAGGTGAAACATGAACGAGGCGTAACTTTGAAGGAGGTGACTGCGGATCTGAGATGAAGAACAAAAGCAAGAATCACAACACGTATAGCAAACATCGCACAGTTCTGCAGTGAATTCAACAACATCACTTCAACAATTTCAACACGGCATCGACATCACAACCTACAACATAGATCAATACAAATTCACTGCCAATGATTCATTCGACGATAGAAAGTAAACTGAAGAAGAAGATCAGAAAATAGAAGTGGATTTTGAATAAGATCGAAGAAGAAGCTTCAGCTAAGAACAAAAGCAACGGAAAAGGGAAGACCTTACCTGTATCATGTGTTAAGGTCTTCACGTCAGAATTTTGAGATCTTCCAAACAAGTACTTCCTTCAGTCATTTTTACTCCTCTGTATGCGTAGAATAGCACTCCTTGGACACCTCCCACTGAAGCACCCGATCTTGGCGATTTCTTCGAAATTGGGAACCGTTCGAATACAATGGTCTGATGCCATCTTTGAGTATTCGGAGAAACTATGGGGATGGTTAGAATCATAAAAGAGAGTACAATGTTTTTCGTATTGGAGTTTTGTTGTTTCGGCGAACGAATCTTGGTGAATGGCATCCATGGCCGCCGTAGAAAGCGTGTATCTCATTGGTTCCTTCACAAAGGCTGAAAAAGAGAGAAAACACATTAGGGCTAAGCGGTGACGACACCGTTTATACACTCTATTCCCTTTTTCATTATTATTTACCCTTTTATCTTCTAGTGCGTCAGTTTTAAATCTTAGTTGAAAAAGATAATGTTGTTGGATTGTTGTTTATTTTTTATAGATGGGCCAAATGCTTGCAATGGGCCAATAACATGCAATTTTTTTCCACATGTGAGACTTGACCAAAAAAAAAGAGGCTTGCTCATGAGCCTTGAAAATGATAGGCCTTGCGTCTAGGGTCGACTACAAACCACACCCCTGGATTACTGGCTTGTACCCCCTGAGCTTAGTAATTTCTTTTAAGTAATTGTGATAATTGTTTTTTTGAATTTTTTCACATGATAAAAATAATAAAATTCAATAAAATTTGTTAGATTTTGATTTTTAGGAATTAAATCGGGATCATCCGATTATTTGAGATTTGTAATTCACCTTTGATTGTTAGGATTTGAGTCTTATGCAGGTTCATTGTGCGATACGCGGATATGCTCAAGATTTCGATTGTGATTCAGTTTCACACCGATAGTGCTTCGACATTTATCTTGAGCATTTAATTTCAGACTCTTTTCTTTGCTTGGTGGAGCTTACTCAAAGTTTTCTGGATATCTTTGTTTTGATATGCATTGCTACAGATTGATATTTGTTTGGTATTTTCTCTTGTTTATCTCATCTCGCATTTCATAGCTTTCTAAAAATCATGAGAAATAGGGCTTTATCGCAAACCATATGCATGCTAACATTAGGTAGATGTTTCCCTTTCATTCATCCTTGACTTAGGGCTACTAATGCATGATAACATTAGGTTTAGAAATAGGCTAGTCCCCCTTTGACTTTTCTTTCTCCTTTTGCATATGCATTTAAAACAAAAAACTTCTTTTTCTTTTCAAAAGAATTCAAAACACTTTAAAACTATTGATTCGAATCATGCTTTTGCTTAGTACGGGAAATGATAAGCGGGTCTCTTCTCGATCTTATTGTTCTTCATCTCAAGCATAGGTGTGGTTCAATTCTCAAAAACTCCTTTCATGGCTAAGTAGAAAAATGGCTAATATCTCTCTCTTGAGGTCAATCAGTCATCATCTACAACAAAAATACAAAACAAACTCAAATCTTTTGTGCGCTCGAGCACTCCTCTCTAAAACCTTTTTCAGGTAAGGACACGATTAATTTACTTCTGTGCCAACGCCTAAGTCTCCAAAGGTCGAGCTGCGGAAGAAGGCGGAATTAACTTCGTCCATAAAAGACATCTACAACAAAAATATAAACCAATTCAAATCTTTTGTGCGCTCGAGCACTTTTCTTTAAAACCCTTTTCAGGTAAGGACACGATTAATTTACTTCTGTGCCGACGCATAAGTCTCCAAAGGTCGAGCTGCGGCAGAAGGCGGAATTAACTTTGTCCATAAAAAACACAAACAAACAAAAACATATGAGCCGAACTACGGTAGCTCTGATTCCTCAAAACGGATACGTAGGCATTGGGGTAGGGCCCAAGCGAGCATAATTTTATTTTCCCTACATTCTTTTCCCCTTTCTTTTGCATGCATTCTCCCTTAGCATAGTAGACAGTAAGCATAGATTAAACATACCCATAAGATAGATAACAAGAGTGGATACCGTAGAGTACTACGGGCGTGTGGGGTGCTAATACCTTCCCTTCGCGTAACAGACTCCCTTACCCGATCTCTCGATCGCAAGACCATAACTTCTCCCTTTCTCAGGTTTACTCGATGTTTACCTTTCCCTTCATATGGGATAAAAGACGTTCGATGGCGACTTCATTGTTTTGATGATTTTCAGCCGGTTGTTTCAGCTGGCGAATTCACTGGGGACCTGGTCGACCAAATGCTGGTCCATCCCGGAGTCGCTCCTAGCTCTTGCTTTCTTTTCTTGGGGTGTCTATTTTTATGCTTTCAGTTTAGTCATTTGTACATGTTTGTCTGAGCATAAGTTTGCATTGCATTTTATTGCTTTCCCTATTTGTTATCTATTATGCTGGACTCTATTTTCCATGTTGGGTGGGGATGTTATTATTGAGGTAAAAGGCCCAGTACCCAGGCCAGAGTGCACTAGGACACCTAGGACTAGAGTGGGGGCATGACGGCTATAGGACGTGGTCCGATTAGTGCAGTCATGTCATATACCACACTCGGATGAGGTTCAAATGAATTACTATTGGAACCCACATCTGTGGGTAAGCCCATAGCACTTTCAGGAGGACCCGTGATTTTCGAGTTACCATTACCTTACCCTGACCTAGTCTTCACCCGTGAGGGGTGAGGGATTTGTCATTACAGGTACAGTTGGTGATTGTGTCCAAATGGTTACTCATGCTCAGATGGAGACTATGATCAGATGGTGATTAGTGGTTCTAATGATCATGCTATGGACTTCTGCCAATGACTTATGCATATGGTGTTCTGTTGGTGACCATATGGTTCTCAGATTTATTTTCTGAGTTCCTGACTTGCTTACTTGGAAGTACATTCAAGCCTTTGATCTTGGCATTCCCAGCATACTCAGAATTGCTCAACAGTATCTGATGTTCCTGAAACCTTGATCTCATGCTACTTAGATCTACATATTACTCAGCTCTTATATGTGCGGAAGCTATGCCAGACCTTTGATTTGATGATATTCATATGGTTTAGAACAACGCAGCAACCATATTCAGAAATGATGGAACCTTGATCCCATTTGATCTCATATATGTGCATACATAACATGGTTGAACACATACTTAACATACATGTCCTGTGATTTCCAAGGAATCGTATTTGTGATCCTAGTGCCAAACTTTCCCATCCTTACTTACGTAAAATCAAAAACAAAGCACGTAAAGTCCTTGGAAATAACAGAACATGACATGGCATCCGTTCATGCACCCCATGTATATTCATGCATCCATAACAGGTACTCGAGGATTGGGGACTCTTGCTCAGACCATGTGTTCTCCTCGGAGGTTTAGCTTTGATTCTTACTATCACATGCTCAGAGATCAGTTATGGAATAACTCTGGGTATACATACAAGCTTCGGCCGATGGACAAAAATCTCTTCAAGCAGGAAGATAATTGATTGGAAACTCAAATGAGATAGGTCATGAAAGCTCTGATGACGATGTCAACAATATTACACCTAGTATCACAGTAAATGTTCTCTCTTCTCCTCATCTTTTGGGAATTGCTTCTAACCATGGAGTGCTACGTAATCCCGAGTTCTTGGAACATCTTATCAGCAGATGCTTCCCATTTTACCATAGGATCTTATATCAATGCTTCGTTCTTATTGACCAAAATCAGATGTGGTTACCACGCCGGGGCATCATACCTTTTAATCAGGGGCATCCTCCATAACTTTGTGTTCCCTAATTTGTTCAACAAGAGCCAGTCTTTATTCCCCAAGTGAATTCATGGGGAAAGTTTTTAAGCCAAGACACAAGAACCCTGATGAGCATGCTAATGCGAGCCCAATGCATTACATCCTATTATTCCCAGTTCTTCCCAGCTCTGATCTTTGAGGACTTCCTCGCACAAACGTCTCTTCTGATTATAATATGTATGCTAGATGCATCCCCTATTCTGGGGTACCCGGTTTTGATATTAAAGATTACAAAGGAGTTGAAATATAAAGCCCAGCACCTGTTTGGCGTCTCTTCCAAAGGTCCAATTCCTTTTTGGCCAATTGCCATATTCTTTATCACCAGGTGGATGTCTCTTTTATTTTTATAGAGGACAGACTGTATTAGTTTTTTGTGGCGTAGTATGCCTGATGATGCAGTTTTCACTTGAAAAATATTCATTTGTTCTCCTAAAAGAATCCTCTACACATATTATTCTGGGGCAATTGATCATTCGATTGAAGAGAGTACGTCATCCAGAGACAAGGCCCAAGACGAGATCAATCCAGAGACTGTAGTGCCCAAATCATATCAGAGGGAGAATTTTCTGACTCACCTCATGCATCTTCATGCCTCCATAGAAGGTACTCAGAAGGTACTCAGAATGGGGAACCCTCATTCGGATTCAGTATTCTCTTTTCAAACTGCCAATCTTGACGTCTCACTGCTTCACGATCAGATTCAAGTTATGAAACAACCTTGTGAGGAATTGGGTGAGATAAAAAGAATCAGATAGGGCTGTTTATTAGGGATATGCAAACAATGGCCTGTAGTTAGAAATCCTCAAGGAGAAAAGATAGCCAATTGAAGACTCGGTTGAGTCGGGTATAGAATTTTTGAAGACAGTGTCGACAAAGAAAGGTGATTTTATATACGTTGTTGCAACATGAGTTGTCATTCATCCCCAGCCTATGGGACTTTTTTTTTCAAATCATGAGATATTTTATGGGTCTCACCCAGAGCTTCGTATTCTCGGATTTTCTTGCTAGCAGCTAGTTTCTGGTCTCCAAGTGAACCCATGGGGTA